ATCTGTATATTAATAAACTTTACTGAATTATAAAATAAAAATCAGTGAAAAAATATTTCAGACACATTTAAAGAATTTACATAACACTACAGTCTTGTTGAGAATCTATTTCAGATGGTAATGGAAGAATGGGATTTCCTTCAGAATCAAATTGAAAGAGTGAACATTGTTCACCAACAAGATCTTCTGGTGCTTGACCATAATTTTGCATTTCTGTCATAAGTTTCAGTATAGATTCAAATCGACGTTTTTTAATATCTTCAGTATCATCTTTGTTTTCCTTTTCCAATTCAATACACACCTTATACAAGACATAAATATGTTAATCATAAAAAGACTCAGAATGCATTGTTTTATTATTAACATACCTTTTGTATCAACTCTGATTGTTTTGTATATCTCTGTAAATCAGAAGAATTCATAGTTGTTCTGTGTTCTTCTAGCCATGCTGGATACTTATCTGATAATTCTTTCAATGATGGATAAAGAATTTCTTTTGACAAAAGATGTTCCATCATTCCTTGCATAAATGGTAATATATCACCAGTGTCGCTATCAAGAGATGTTCGTCCTAGCATAGCTGCTAAGTCGGTATCATTCTAGAAAGTATTTTATATCTTCTTTAATTATAATTTAATTCTTTTAAAAAGATGAACTGAAAGTAATATCATAATATTACAAGTTGACATATATACTATTATTATTACTATTTCTATTACCATGCAAAATAAAAATAATATAGATAAATAATAGTTACAAATAATATATAAATACCATTGCTGATGTTATCATTCTTTAGAATTAACACAATCTGATTAATATACATTATTAATATATAGAGCATTACTATGACTACATTCCATTTGGTAATCGCAACGCTTATAAGCATTATCTATGTTTAGTTAACTTTCAGTGAATAAAAAGGATGAAATAATTCCATGAGCATAGTCACTTGATCACCAAGTGGAACATAGCCTATATTATAAGAATCAAAATACCTGCAAATTTTCAGAATTTGTAGTCAAGTCCTTTAAAACTTGTGAAATAGCTGTTTGAAAATCTGCACTAATATTGTCTTTTTCATCTGTTGCATCATTGGTCGATGTTTCTCCAAGTTTTTGCAAAGCAGCTTCTAGTTCATTATCGCCTAATAATACATTCTAGTAGTAATATATATATATTCTTTGTATATTAAACTCACCATTTTGTAATAAGTTTTGCAAATTTTTTTCAAATTGATCAGCTGTTTGTTTAAGAAAATCTTCTGTCCATTTTTCTGTACATGTTTCAGATGTTTCACATTTACCAATTTGATTTTGCAAATCTAATGTATTTGGACCCATCGCAGTGTCCTTTTCAATATTTGACATAGCCTCCTTGCCAAAATCTTTTAAAGCACCTAACAAACAACAAGATTTAAACTGTAAGATATGCAATTAATATATTGTCAAATTTCAAAATTTACTAGCTCATACGATACACAATGTAACTAAATATTATTTTTTTGATATGAAGGATATTAAAAAATCTAAATTTTATGTAT